CGCCTGCACCTTCTCAGGGTTCGCCTCTATTCCTCTCTGATTGATAAGGAATCCGAGAAATTTCCCAGACTCAACTCCAAATACACATTTCTTGGGATTGAGCATGACATGGTGCCGCCTGAGTGTGGCGAAAGTTTCTCGGAGGTCCGACAGATGATCTATCTGAAGCTTAGATTTGACAATCATATCATCAATGTATGCCTCGACATTTCTCCCAATCTGATCAAAGAATACAGTGTTTATCATTCGCTGGAAGGTGGCCGGGGCATTCTTAAGACCGAACGGCATAACCGTGTAACAGTATAACCCTTGATCAGTGACGAAGGCCGTCTTCTCCTGATCTTTCTTCCATAAAGGAATTTAATGGAAACCAGAGTAGGCGTCCATAAAGCTCATCAAAGCATGGCCGGCTGTTGAGTCGACCAGGTTATCAATTTTAGGCAGAGGGTAACTGTCTTTGGGGCACGCCTTGTTTAAGTCTGTGTAGTCTACACACATTCGCCAGGTGCCATTCGGCTTTTTAACAAGCACCACATTTGCAACCCAGTCTGGGAAGTAACATTGCCGAATGAACCCTGCATCCAGTAGTTTTTTTACTTCGGCGGCTGCCGCCTGACTTCTTTCTTCGCCATGGTTCCGCTTTTTCTGCCTTACCGACTTCTTTTTCGGATCCACATCCAGTTTGTGTACCGCCAGGTCAGGACTAATGCCTGGCATTTCGTGGACTTCGAATGCAAAGATGTCCTTGTATTCTTTCAATAGTTTGTGCAAATCGTCACCCAAGATCTTCAGAGCAGTCGTCCCAACTTTGACTGTTCGGTCAGGACGTGAGTCGTCTAAGATCAGATCCGTATGCTCACTAGCCGGCTGAGGGCGGAATTCGTCCGACCGCTCCTCTGCCAATGATTGCTATTTTCTGTCTTTTCTTGCGGCCCCCGTCTGGGCTGCCTTTCTCTTCTTGCCGCCTGCTTCTTGAACAGGCGCACTCTCCTTGACATTGTCAAGGTCTGTTTTTCCACCACTTGATCCAGCGGTCATAACAGTGGGTTTGATATCCGAGAGATAGCACTCTCGGGCCATCCTCTGGTCTCCCCTTAGGGACCCGACTGTTCCATTATCCCTCTCAAACTTGAGCAACATAAGAGATGGGATTATAACAGCCTTGGAATTATTCAGGGTTGGTCGTCCCAGAATCATGTTGTAGGCCGAGAGTTCTTCTACTACCAGGAACCGGACTACCATGTGTCGTCCTTCCCCTTTTTCACCCAGGCGGATGGGTAAATCCACTCGTCCCACTGGGTGGACGACTCCTCCTCCAAACCCTACTAAAGGGTGGGATGCCGGATGTATGCAATCAGTCTGATATTTTAATTTTGACAGACATTTGCTACTGATAAGATCTGAGGAGCTTCCAGTATCTATAAGGATTCGGCCAACTCTTTGGTTGGCCACTTTACACTCAATAACGATAGGGTCGTCATGCGGCCCCCTTACCCCTCCTAGATCTTCTTCAGTGATGACAATCTCAGGAAATGAATATTTGGAGGGTCGTTCTTGGTGAACGGAATTTACATCTAACCGCCTGATATTGTCTTTGTTACCCCTAATAGTGGGGCCGCCTCTTGCGAAGCCGCCTGCAATGGTGTAGACGACTGCATCATCTGTATCAGAGCTGTCGGCCTGTTGACTCTTTTTGGCCGACTGCTTTTTCGAGGAAGTGTTCCCTGTGGATTTCTTGACATAAGAGTCAAGATCACCTTGCTCAGCCAGGCGGTCCAGATACCGCATAAGACTGATGCATTCGTTGGTGTGATGACCAACATCGTCATGATAATCACATAATTTTTCTTGGTTCCTGTTGCTTGCAGAACCCTTCATGGGGACCGGCTTCTCAATTGAGATCCGTCCCTTGATTTCCTTTAGGATAGCTTGGTTGTCCTTGCTAAACGCATACTTTGGCGAGTATGGTTTGAATTCTTTTTTCTTCTTCTGGGCAGGCTGTTTAGAGGAATCAGCCACCCAGACCTCTTTTCTTTTCTTCTCATCTTTGTTCGACAACTGTTTCTGTCGCCCTTCTTTTTTATCGAACCTTTTCCCGTCCGACTATTTTGTACTGCAAAGATCAGTCGCCTGTATATAGGCTTCTGCTTCAATCAAGGCCTCTTGAAGAGTCGCCACCCTCTTTCGGACCAAATCAAATTTGAATGTCGATCCGTCTTTGAGGCCTCTGAAAAAGTTAGTATAGGCTACCTCATCCGGTAACCCTTGAATCTGTATTCTCATCAGGTTAAACCGCCTGATGTAAGAACGAAGCCCCTCCTTCTCGCCCTGCTGAATCGTTCCTAAATCAAGGGTCGTCTTCTTCGCAGGGATGTTCATGGCAAAGTTGGAGGTGAATAAGTAAGCAAGCGTCCTGAAGTTATTCACACAACCAGTCGGCAGGTTGCCGAACCATTGTTGTGCGATTCCTTTGAGAGTCGCTGGGAAACACTTGCACTAAGTGGGATCATCCAACCCTTGAAGGTACATCAGGTTGGTGAATGTCATCAAATGGTCTTCTGGGTTAGTAGTGCCGTCATAGGCGCCTACTAATACATTTTTCACTTTGGCCGGCTGAGCGGCTTCAACAATTTCCTTGGAGAAGGCCGACGGCTGTTCCCCAAGTCTAAGCAACCGTAGCTGCCAGTCCATAGGTTGGACATTCTTTGCTGCATGCCCACCAAATAGAGGTGGCTGCAAAAAATATTGTTGTTGCGGTACAAATGGTAAGTTTGGTACCGCCTGGTCACTATGAAAGTCGGACTGACGGGAGGTACCGCCTGACTGACTCTCATGATGCGACTGAGTATGCCTCATCGAGGTATTGCGCAGACTGTCTTGGAAGTTTGAAGTAGAGGCCGACTCTGACAATCGGTCGTTCTTCTTCTGTTCTAGCAATAACCGAGCATCTGTGTATGTTTTCTTCGACCCGTCCGCCTGAATATGACGAACAGGTTTCCTCTTTCCTGGAGTAGGAAAGCGGTACTTTGTGAAATCAAGGGCCAGCGGCTCCCACTTCCTAGAGTTAGGATGAGGGGTCGCCTCTCGCCCTTGAACTGGCTTCCTCTTTCCTGAAGTGGAAGGTTTCTTAGCCGACTGCTCCTTGGCCAGAGCAGGCTTCTTGTTGAGCAACTCTTGAATCTCTCCCCTGAAGCCCCTCATGAAGGTCATGAGTTCGTTTCTTGTAATGGGAGCAGACCCATCAGCCGGCTGCTGCTGAACAGGCGGTGCGCCGGCTGGATCACTGGGTCCAGTTTGAAGATGTTCCCGTTCCCTCCTTTCGGTATAACGGGTGCGTCGGGCCCTTAGGGTCCCGTCTGAAGCTGTGTGAGCTTTAACTTCAAATTCATTCTCCGTATCATGGTCCGACTGAACTTGAGGGTCGTCTAGGGGACGCCTCTCTTCAGGAGTCGGTACAGACGTGGATGCCATCTCAGAAGTACTCTCCCCACAGACGGCGCCAAAATGTTTCGGGGTTTTCTGATGTCTTGCGGGAGAGTTACAATTCCGAGACTGGAACCGGACGCCTGTACCTGCAAAACAAACGGATGCTCCGGATGATTGGAGATCCGCCTCCAACGGTCAAGTTAGTACTTGCTTAAGGAGTAATTAATGCGGAAATTAAAGTGATTGGGTCTCTCTAGGTGAGAGTGTTTAATGTGCGTAATCCCCCTTAATGAGGATTAAGGGAGGTATTTATAACCTCGGGAAACGTGCCAATCCTAGGTTTAGGTTAACCTTGGGCTGATTGGGCTTCCCTCGGAAGTTGGGCCTAGGTGGCCGGTTTCTCCATTAGACATGGAGTATGCCACGTGTCATGACATAATAGGTCCAGGGTGGACGAATAAGTGTGTGCCACGTGGCAAGCCCTGACAGTTCCAATTGGGGGACACTTGGCAGGACCTGATTGGCCCACGTGGCGCATTCCGATTGGTGGGAGCAAAATCCCCTAATCAATTTTGATTGTTTTAATTACGTAATTTACAAAGAAATTAATTGATACTTTACCTTTCCCTAGAATTAGACATATGCTATAATATACTCTATAAATTCTTAATTTGTAATAATATATACGTAGTAGTAAAATTTCAAAACAAAATTGTAATTAATTTGAATATATAGTTATAATGAAATTGAAATATATTAGCTAGAGGTATTTGAAAAAAAAAAAATTAAGTGATGTTTTAAAATAATTTCTTTAACATCTATTATATGAATCAATTTATTATTACTTTTTTGGCAAAATCTAATAATACTCCATTTAAAGGATAATTAAAAGATGTTGGAATAATATTTAGGTAAATGTGTATAGAAAATTATAAACACGAAGTAAAAAGAATATATTTATCATAAATATAATATAAAAGATTTGGAATGATATTATTATATTATCAAATATTAAAAAAAAATAGTTTAAAAGGGAAGGGGTGTTTTGGAGGAAAAAACAGCACCAGGATATGACATGTGTCACTCTCGGTGTCTGTTTTAGTATTATGTTATTGATTTCTGAAAGAGAAAATACAAGTTTATCTTCATGATAAACACACACACACAAAAAAAAAAAAAATAAGTTTATGTAAATAAATCAACAACTTTTTATTAAATGTGGGCCCACTAATGTTGATTTATTTACCGAAATGCCATGTTTACTGGGATTTTATGTTGATTTATATACAGAAATGCTACTATATAAATGTAATGGGATTTCTTCTGATTAAAATATTAAATTTACATTATGATAAAATTAAAATTAATCTTTAAAATTGGTCGCATGATGTCCATAACAAAATAACATGACTTGTACGTTGATTTAGAGTATAACAAGAATTTTATATTAGTGTGTATATGACATAACAAGACTAACCTGTTGCGTTTTATTTTTCAAACTATGAACACCTAACTTAAAAAACCATCAAATTAAATCTAGCATACAGATCCAGCTGAATAGAAGAGAATGGAACCTGTTATGGGTGATAAGAGGACTCGAACGCTCGATGGAACGGTCGAAGTAAGGAAGGGACCAGCTACGGTGGTAGTGATGACTGATACAAGGTCAAGTCCGTTCTCATTAGCAAACTTAAACGCTGCTTCCTCGGAGCTAAGCTTTGATAATACATAAACCTAATAATCATACATAGATAATTTGGTCTTAAAAAAACTTATGCAGACATAAAATTAGTAATACTATCTAATACGATATGCAATAACGATTGTAGCTTTGATGAAAGCATGTTTTTGATTGATCCAACTGTTTTTATATTTGTTAGATTTAAATCTTTTTAAAATGTCGTATGACATTTTTTGCTTTTTTGTGGGGTCAATGAATCAATATGTTATTTTTGAAAAAAAATAAAATTTTATTCAAACAGTTTGGTATAGTTTGATTTACGGGTTTTATTGTACTTAGAATAAATTATGTGGAGGATAAATAATGTACATACCCATCCGCTAGCTCTTGTATTCCAAACACGATCAAAAGAAACTTGACAAGATTCATCAACCACAGGTATCCAATTTCCGTCGTTGTTCTTAGCTGTTATGGTGCTGATAGAAGATGTTAAGACCACCCTTTTCACTGATTTTGATCTTTTGCATGCTCTCAGAAGGTTTAAAGTTCCTTTGATTGCTGGATCAATGATGTTCGATTGTACATAACTTTCTTTGCGGTACAAACACAGAACAAATTAGTACCGATAAAGTAGAACAAACGAGTAATGACATATGTGATGATGTGCATGTAGCTAGGAGTACATACTCTTTTCGTCCTTAAATAATATATTTGATTTTTTTTTTTTTTTTAGGAAATAAATTAAGAAACCATAATTATCGTTCACTAAATACTAATGTATATTCTACAAATATAATGTATGCTAACATTTTCAATTACATACTAAATTACTTTAAGAACTTTCATTGTAATATTTGGCAACGAATACATTGTCTAGGGTATAATATATAATGAAGTGCAAAGATTAAAGTTAAAATCACTAAATCTTAAATGTGACATATTATCCTAAGAAAATCTATGAAATAAATATGGCCTAATACTTACGTAGTAAAATTGAAGGGAGTACTCCGTATGAAATAAGAGTTTTGTTTATAAGGCCTTACCAATATTTTCTTGATCTTTAATATTGAATTCCATAGAAGCTGCTACATGGAACACCCCATCGCAATTGTCCACAGCTTCATCGAAACTTCCTTCATCTTGTAAATCGGCCTTAAAGAGCTTCAACCGATCTTCATTATCCCATTTGGATTTTAGATATGAAGCCTTTTCTAACATAATGAAGAGTTCAAATAACAATCAATCATCATTTAGAGAATGCCCACAGTTTTTGATAAACAGATTTAGTTACCTAAGTTGAGACACTTCTTATAGTACATAGTGACTACATACTTCGTATTACAATAACAAAAAAGGATTGGGATTTTCATCACAAATGAGTAATTAACAGTTCGACACATAATTTTCATAATCCAAAAATTTTACGAAAATATTTACATTCCAGACGTATCTTGTTTAATTCGTGTAAAACCTAAAATAATGGTTACATAAATAACATGATCTAGATCATGTTGGGTCGCACGCACACCAAAACTCCACATTAACATGATATTGTCTGCTTGGGCCTAGCCCGCACAATTTTATTTTTGTTCACCTTCCGGCTCTCACTTATAAGAAAGTTCTCTCTTCCATATTTCTTTCATGTAGGACTTGAGATGAACAACCCAACAGATAATTGGCTCAAATACATATAGCTACCCTCTAACAAGTCTAACCTCTAGACTTGAAGTTGAAGGGTTGGATTCATGGTAAAAGACCTGGCCTTTTGTTTTTGTTTTTAGATAAGATGTGTTTATGCATAACTTATCAAAGGTTTACAAGAATGCATATCTGAGGCTTTGCTGATTGGGCCATGTTTATTGGGATATAGATATCTGTATTGGGTTATATATGGATTGGGCATTTGAGCAAGATTTGGGGCTTAATTTGGATTTGGTTTAAGTTAAACCGATCAAATTAAATTATTCCATCTATATTTTAAAGATTGTCCCATCCGCATATTTGTCCTTGTGATAAGTAAATTATATAAAAAGAAATTGTGAAAGATTGTGTTAACTGGAAAAGGAAATGCATAATCGAGACGGCACAATAAAATAAAAAAAAAAAAGGAATAAGTATTTCCTTATTAAAAAAAATAATTTAATGATTTTAATATTAGTTTTCAGGTCAAATGGAGAGTACCGATTTTTATGTAAAAATACGTGGATTGTTGTTTAAGACAAATGGCATGATATTGGGCTTAGGAGTAGCTTGACACATGGGCATGTAATGGGCTATGTTTGGTGTGATGATGCTGAGTGAGTAGGAAAGTTTAGCAAACTATTGTGGCGTGGCTTAAACTCCTTAAAATTCGATCTTGCTTGTTCTTTCAATGTTTATTTAGTGCTTGTTCGGTTGAACATATGAAATTACACGAAGTATTATTTAAGAATTCATTTCTCCCATTATATATAGAGTACCTAGAAGGCTAGAATTACAGTTTGGTTAAAGTTTCATTTATTCTATTTTGTGAGATGTAGAATTTATCAAAGAAATAACTCTACATTCTCCCACTTCATAGAAAATTGACTATTTATTTTTTATGTCAACCAAACAAGAACTTATTTTGGGTAGAATTAAATAGGTATGTAATTAGGAATCTTCTAGTCTAAAAGAAGAATAAAATTATGTAATTAGGAAGCAAAATGGAATATGGTAAGCATAATCTAATAAGGTTTAGGCGGCATATATACGTAGGCATTAGAATAATATATGGCGGCGATATTAATTATCATAATCACAACAAAGTTAGGAGGGTCGTGAAGGAGGTGCCTCCGAGCTTCAAAGGAATGTTGGATTATGTCATCTAAATTCATATGAAGTAGGAGTTACAAATTTGAAATTTCATACTTTTTCCAATACATACTACATTAAACACTATTTTCAGCAATTAAATTAACCAATTTATTGAGTTAAATATGGATTCACTATAAGATAAACCCCAATCTGTTCCAAATTATTCCATCCATTCTTGATTACTTGCAATAGATTGATGACTGACTTGTCAATGCATACATAACACAAATATATGCAATTTGTATTATTCGTAAAAGTTATAAAAATATCACATAATAATATACATTAACATTTAAAACTAATCTTACAGCTTATTACACACATTTGATTTTAATATCAAAGTAAAAAAGTCATGGTCAAAGTTAATGTGTAAAGGTTAAATTGTTTTAGGTATTAAAGAATAAAGGGAGTAAACAATAAAATTGAAAATCAGATATTTGACCAATTGATCAAGTTGGATTAAAGTTAATAAAAATGAAAATTATGTTTCGAAATTTTGGATATTTTAGCTAAACCGGCCAATTCAAGGCTGAACATAGATACAATTAGTGACGTGGATTATTCCTTGTTGATTATTTATGTGTCAAATTTTATATAATAAAAGCAAAATTTGCCGCAACACCCTAAAGTATGGCTTAAGTGCACTGAGCACCCTGAACTTTACGTAGTAGCCAAAATACCACCAATTATGATGTTAGGTGCAACGCGTGTCTTAAAAGAAAATTTCCGACCACTCATTTCACCGAAGGAGGTGAATCTTCACTCTCCAGAACAGTTATGCAGTCTTCCATCAACTTAGCACGCGTGGATTCACTTTCTCCGGTGAAATAAGCGGCCGAAAATTTTCATTTAAGGCACGCGTCGCACCTAACACCATAGTTGGTGGTGTTTTGGCTACTACGCAAAGTTCAGGGTGCTCAATGCACCTAAGCCATACTTCAGGGTGTTGCGGCCAATATTGTCAATAATAAATTAACTAATTGTAATTAATAAAGGAAACAAATAGACAGCTCAATTTTTGATATGCCATTATTTTAGTGTTTGGATTAGTATTAAACATGTAATATTAGCAATACATCAAGCAGATAAGCTAAAGTTGCTTAAGAAGATACGGGAAATTGACCAATGTCTATCAAATTAATACGCTACAATTACCATATTTAGATGACTAATACACAATTAATTATATAACTATGCTATAAGATGGTATGTTAAAATGGACAAAAGATTATAGCTTATCTGGCTATCTTTAATGAATTCCACCTGTAATGTACTCAGTAATTTAAAAATATTTTGAAATTTTTGACATTGATGGTTATACATAATTACATACAAGGTCAACTACTTAATGTGTAATATAAATCATCATTAACATTAAAAAAAGCATAGGTTATAATGTTTAATTTATATATATATATATATAACCCAAGAAAGGACAAACTTAAGATATCAAATACAATCATTAGCATCCAAACAAACTTTATACTCTTACAACAAGTTATTACATTCCAAAAGTATTAGTTATTTGAGTTATGGAGCAAATGCCAAACCAAAATAGCCTTGTAATAATTCCCAATATGTATCCATCTTCAACTGCTTACACTAATGCTTATCCACCCCATTTTAATGACACAATGGCTACAAATTATGTGCAATATCTCACATCTACTCCATACTATTATTTCATTCCTCATACTTCTCATTCTATGGGATACCATAATCCTAGTCCACATTATGTACACGATATTGGTTCCCAATTAGGGTTTTCAAGAGTGGGTACAACTCCAGTTATCGGAGTACCTTATTATGCACCTCAAATTATGAATAATTCTCGTAGTTGTTCAAACATGCAAGAATTATTGGAAGGAGGTATCGATCATGCTGATCAAATTGAAAAGTTAGATGGAAATATGGAAGGTGATTATGATTGGATGGTAAATGAAAATTTATTGGTTAATCCACGGATTATAAACATGTTGGAACCATTCAGGCATCTATATAGTGAAAGTGAGGAATCATTGAAGAATATCTTTCCGTCACTTTATTCTAAACTCTCTGAGTTTTTCAAGAAGGTGAATTCGTTGATTATGGAGAGTATTACAACGGAAAAAGAAAAATCATCCGGACAAACCTTAAAGAGAAGTCTAAGCCTCGGTTCATCACCAACTTGTAAGAATGAAAGGTTCAAAGTTAGGCCAATCGATTCAGAGGATGTTAATATACTTATTCCACCAGAAAGCATGAAGGATGGTGATAAGGGTTCTAGCAAATAAGCTCCTCCGGGCATAATTCTCTAAGAAATAGCTCGATTTAATCAAAATTGCTATTGCAAAAATGTAACGCAAAAAAGAAAATTCTTCATAGGTTGTCTGGATCACATTAACATTGCTTTTATTTTATTTTTATTTATATGTATCAATTAAAACTCTTATTCTTTATGTTTGTGTATACATGTAGCAAAAAATTTCATATATGTTGTTAGATGAAAATAATAGTCCCTTCTACATATCAATAACGTGTGATATTATTTCAATGTTAATATATACGTAGAACTATGTATTTTATTTCAGTTGTGTTTTTAATTTATTCATTAATCGTTGTACGTACTACTTTTGCTAGTATTAATTTTTTAAAAAGTTATGCTGTTTCATATATGCAGATTGGTTTCAAAGAGCTTTTGAGATTAATTAAAGTACTTTTCAAATACTCCTAGAAACATAAACCTTTCAATATTTTGATGTGTGTGTGTCCTTTTGCAAGTTTTGCATACCCTTAGTTTTATTTGGAAATAGGTATTCCCGAATATGAATTGAAATAAGAAGCTTATTATGTTTGGTGCGTTTTGTGTGCGGCTAGGCATAACATGTGACCGTTTGTAAAATAACAAAATAATCCCTATAAAACTTACCGAGTAACCCCTGTAATATTAATCGAGTACCCCCTAAAGCACTAACCAAGTAAGCCCTATAACACTAACAAAGTAATCCAATGATGGCTGGCCACACGGTAATTACACATGAGCATATCTAATGTACATTCAAGTGTACTTCCTTCGTCCCTCTTAAGGTGAGAAAATATTCTAAATTATCCTTTTTTATTTTATTTATTTATTTATTTTTGGGTATTTAGAGAGCTACAGGGGCGGAGGAGAGAATCAATCCCAAGATCTCCTGAAACCGGGAGAAAAGCTCTAACCACTTGAGCTATCCCTCACTCTCCCAAATTACTCTTAATATATAAGATATAACATAGTCATATTGGGTCTTATTTTATTTGTCTTAATGAATAGTTTTTTAATATTCAATTGTTATATTTTTCACTAATGAGCAATTAATGATATTTATGGTCAAAGTTTTACATTGGCAAACAAGCACAGTCAAAATGGAAAGAATATTTGGGGATGGAGGGAGTCTTATTTATAAGTTTGACGTCCCATATAAATGTTTGCAACAAGTGTATCTTAGGATTTGAGGTGCAATTTTGAATACTTCCTCCGTTCTTTTTTTATCGCATCACTTTGACCTTTACACTATTCACATAATCTTCTTTGACCATCTTTTGTGATTTATTCGTAAAGAAAAACATAGTCATGTGGGATTTAGTTAGATTCATCTCGAAATCTACTTTCCAAATATTAATTTTTTATAATTTTTACAAAGGTATAATTAATGATATTAATAGCTAAAGTAATGCATTGGCAAGCGTGAAATCTCCTATGATGCAATAAAAAAAGAACGGAGGAAGTATTTGTGTTTGATCATAAATAATGTTTCAGGGCGTTTTTATTTGGAGTGATTAATGACTTTTGAGTACAGGGAGTTATATAATTAAAAACAAATGGTAAGAGCCAATGCATCTTGAAAGATATGAGAAGATTTGGCGTTTTACATGCTTTTATCAGATTTGATTTCCAAAACATTAAGAATTTTGTCTACCTCTATCGAGTAATCTAGCTAGCTAGTCATTAAAGAACAGAGTAGATGTAGATAAATGTAAATTATACCGCAAATATTAGCAAAAACATAAGTACACAAAACTCTCATTATTAAGGATGCTAATTAACTTAGTTGGATTAAGTACTAAGAGATAATCTCGTGCATAACATTACCCTACATACCTCTCTATACTGCTATACACTAAAAGTTCCCAATAATTTTCACTTATGCATACTATATAATCTAACTAGTCTTCACTCTTCATACATTTTCACAACATATAAGAATCATCTTTTCCCTAAATTTTTGGGAGCTCATAATTAACAAATAAATTTGTAGATAAAACAAATTATCTTCCTATATTTTCAATTTAAAGGAATAAAATTAAACTGTAAAACTTATGTATTATTTAATATTGTATTGATTAATTAAGGAGTATAGAATGTGCTCGATCAAAATCAGGTTAAGAGATCAATCAACAAATCTTATATATGTATCCTAAATATACAACTTTATTAATTCAATCTACATGGTAATTTATTTCTTCTTTATAGTAATAAACTTTGCCCAAATTTATAAATTTATTTAGTAATTTTGACGAAAGATATTTAAATATAAAAGCGAACAAAAGGAATTTACTCACCTAGAACCCTAACGGCAGCATGAACTTTACAACCCTTTTGAAGTAGCGCCTTGACGAGCCACGATCCAATATAACCAGTTGCACCTGTAACACAATAAGTTTTTGCTTCATCTATTGTTGATGTAGTCTGGAATATTCTTGATGTATTTCCTCCATCCTCCATTAACACAGTAATTATATGAGCACCAAGTTTATGATATGATATTTTAAGCATATGCTAATATAGCAATTGGCACGACTCAACTATATATTAATATATTATACACAAATAAAGATATTGTATCTTTGTATGTTTGTGCTGTAATTGTGCACAAAGAGAGAAAATAAAAAAATTAGAGAAATGGTAAAATAAACAGTACTCGTACTAATTTAAGCATGCATTGATTTTAGTGTAAGAAAAGACGCATCTATCTGCGTTGTTTTTGTTTGATACACAGTCATCAACTCATCAATTGTCAAAATAGATCAAAATACACGGTTATAGAACAATCTTGAAGGTTACGCAGATTCCTTGTTACAGTATACTTTCTCCGTTTTTTTAATCATCACTTTTTATATTTGAAAGTTTTAATTTAGATGCATCACTTTATTTTTTGTTTAATAAATTTTCTCTATCTCTCATATCATATGGGTTCACTTTTTTCTTTCTCTCTATCTCTTTCATCTCCAAAAATTACCTAAGAATCTGTAAAATTAAAAGTGGTGCGTTTAATAAAAAAACGGAGAAGTATTAAAGCGTGTTCTCTGTAGCTTATTTAAGAAAAAAATAACTTTTTTTTGCCGGGATCACAATAGAGCAAATTAGACCACTAGAAACAATCAGATGAGATTAGTGATCTCTTGATATTCGTTTACTTACTAATAAATGTTTCTAATTACAGACTAATACGAATTATGAATTACATTAAGTACACATGAAGCGAACCTATTTAAGTATTGAGACCTCACTTGATAAAGGATTTTTTTTAATTTTTTTTTTTCCCCTTATGCACTAGTGTAAAAATGGGAGTCAAAGTTGAGTCAAACTGAGCTAGAAGGGGAAATTGGATAGACGAGTTCAGGTTCAGATTTCAGGCTCAAGCTCAAGTAGTATTCGCTACTCGCCAGAACTTTGAAGAGGAGCTACACGATCAAGTTTCTTACAGCTATTATTCGACTCAATTATCTGTTGGTACACTAGATTTTAGTTCAAAAATCTTTCTGATAGTCTACTATTTCGTAATAGGTTAGTATTATTAGTATAAAGCAGGCACATTGTAAGAGGCTGAAATCGTAATGTTTCAGGCATCATGTTACCTGAGAAGTAATGAATCAGCTGTGAAGGTGAGAATCATGGTGTGTTATGGTTATGGTTATGCTCTTCTGTGTCTTCTCAAAGCCGTCTATTCTAGAAATGGAACAGCATAGAATGTCATTATAAGAGGTAATAGATGTATATCAGAGAAATACTATGATTAAACTATATTCGGAAGTGCGTCTTGCAATCTGCGTTTAAGATACTGAAATATTGATTCTTCAACTTCTTCAGAAAGATCCTATGCCACTTTAACAGGGAAGACAGAAGAAAAGGGCAAATTATGACATATAACTTGGATTAATATCCTGGATAACTACAGCAATCAATATGCCAATAGTTTGTTTACAAAAAGATGTGGAATTGCTATTCTCTGGCTAAGCTAGCATCTTACAGTAGCTTCAAAAACAAGGAAGATTGGATATCACACAGAAAAGACATCATCACTCAAGTAAAGCTTTCTAGGAAGCAGGAGCAGCAATAGCTGTTTCGGCTTCCTTCTTATTCTGAATTTCCTTCCACCTTTCTGGGGTGTCAACGATCTCCCCTGTTTTGATAAGGTACCGGACTTTTCTTCCATCCTCAAGTATTTTATGACCCACCCGACTGGCGACTTCACTTTCTTTTGAGTACAACATGACATTCGAGCTGTGGATAGGTCCCTCAATCTGGAGATGAGATTAACAATCATTTATTTACATGTCACATAATTAGCTGAAATGGCAAGCTAGTCCATCAACTAGGGGTATTTTTCAATTTAAGCGGTAATTTTGAGTTAATCTTTTAATTCATATACTCCATAATGAAGTTTACTAAAGAACCTCAGGAGAAAGAGTAAAGGCATATAAGTTAGCCACAGATAAGAGATGATATCTAGAAATAATGTGTGTCAATGAACAGCCACCAAATATATTCAAGTCTTCATATGAGAATCAGGCAACCACAACAAAAGCAGAAATCATGTTACAATCTCTTTTTAAAAAATATATGCTAATTTGACAGGCATGTTTCTGCATCCGAACAAGGGATAGATCATCAGGTTGCAAAGAAATAGCAATAATTATAATAATAATAATCATAAGGTGATTGATGAAGAGTTGTCAGCAATCAACATACCTTGATTATCTGACCTTGTTCACCCTCTTCTTTGCTCTTCACATGCTTTGTCTTCAAGTTAATATCCTTTACGATCACCGTGCTGTTGTGTTTATAAAGCTTACTAATCTCTCCAATTTTGCCTTTTTCTCCTCCAGCTATCACTTTCACTGTATCCCCAACTTTGACATGCATTTTATGAAGTTTTGGGAGACTATTTGGTTTGCAATCTTTCCGCTCCCAGCGCTTGAGCTGCATGATGGTAAAATAAATGACTACATAACGTAATGTTTGCTGCTCGTCTCCGCATTGCGAAAATATAATTGGGTAGTTAAGGACCACCATGACATTCATAGTCCCGATTACTCCTGAACAATACTAGTAATAAAATTGCCACATGGGATACACTTCTCCAACTTACTCCAGCAAGATTGATGTTTCAGGGTTTTATTTATATTAGTGTTCAGGATCACGAATGACATGATTGTCCTAAATCACCCAATAATCTCTCTCATAATGGATTATCAAAGATGATTTTACAGCCTTACAGGGAAGGGGTTTTGACTTGGATAAGGAATGCCTTCTCTGTGAAACTGACGAATTGACAAACTACTACAACGAAGGGTTATTGAGAAACATTTCCCGTGCGTGACAAATACTCCATAAGATCTACATGATATTCTCCAACAAGACATCCGACAACCATCCCAACACCTAAAATAAAGTTCCCAATATCACCATACAATTGGATTGGTTGAAGGACAAACTAAAGTATCTTATTTAAGAAATCATCATGGCCCAAGGGATAGGATCATAGGAGAACCATCACCATTAACAGACCTTTCTTCATCGGTAAAAGTAGAGTTCAAAATCTCTGTCACCGAGAACTGTATAATCCTTGTAAAAAAATTTGAAACCTTTTTCAAATTATTTATTTCTGGTTAACAAATAAATTGGAATTGATTTTTTATCCCTTGGAAATCCTTCAAGCACAAGAAGACCAATCCAATAGTCTATGTTCTCTCCACCCTCCTAAGAGAACTTCCATTTAGAGGGATACACATTTATATCATCATCAATTCTACAGAGTACTCTTTAATTTGGTAATTGTGGTTCCAGTCAGTCTCGAGCATTATACGAAATTGAGTTCCTTGTTGCATCCTATTAATTTTCTAAATGTTCTTGTGTTGTTGTTGGTCCACACTTCCCTCTAAGGGAACTGGGGGAAGGATGGGAGGGAGAGGAGAGAAGGAGTGGCATGGAATTTGATCGTATAATGTCTAGACAAGACATAGTTCAAACAGGTAACAAACAGCATGAGTTTGAAGAACCAACCTTCATGACAATAAGACATGGTGGATGACCTTCGGTTTTAACCTGCAAGTAAGAAAACCAGATGGTTAAAAAAACATCCATAATACAATCTCATAACACAAGTCCATCAAATCATGTACTTGATGGTTAAAAACAGAGACCAATTTTGGCTTTATTATATTTTGTCCATGGCAAGTGCACAACAGCTATAGCTATAAAATAGCAACACAGGTTATATCCAGCTTCGGAAGGTAGAAGGTGTATCAGGATTATATTTCATAAATTGTGATGCACATGAATTTGCTCATATAATAAGACTAAAGCCTTTAAATATAACCTTTTTAAAAGAATGCCATCTTACCATTCAATATCTAATCTTATCAAGTTGCAAACCCATAAATATTAGGCCATCTCCCAGCTGCCTGCCTCCCCTAACCCCCCCTTCCCTTCTTTTTTCCGCAGATATACTGCAGAAGAACCGAACTTTCAGGAAGAAACATTTCTCTATAATTCTCTAGTTAGAAACTTTGCCAAGTAGGAATTCTACATGTAGACATCTTAGAAAATACGTCGATGGAAAGAGGGGTAGAGGACAAACTATTCTCTGAAGTTCATGTAAATAGATTGCTGATAAAGTGATAAGGGTCAAGTTTAAAAACCCTTATCGAGCAAGTGCACACAGTTAAATCTCATGAGTCATCATCCATAGACTTCAGTTTCTAAAGTCTAGAGTATAAGCAATTCCCAAGCAAAAAGGACTTTGAATGTTTCCACATTACAGAGTTTCAAGTTACAATCAAAAGCCTACGTTGAACAATGCAAGAAAACACACTTCATAAAAAGTTCTTGCTTTAACTGAATGCTACAGCATCGATAACATTCTCTCCCGCCATTTAACAATTAGCCACAGATCGTTTTAATATGATTCCTTTTTATCAAATATTAAGAAGGATGCAAGGCCTTTTCTTTTCCTTTCACAAAAGAGAGCAATGCACCCCCTCTACAGCTCACTTTAATCTGAGGTGGGTTCAAGAAATTGTCTTCCAAGTAAAATTCGCGGTGATTTGTAGGGTTTTTGAGTTCCGGTTTTGGGAATGGTGGCTGGTGTTTAGGGGGGTTGGCAGGGTTGAATTGTGGTGGCTGGCAGGTAGGTATGGGTAGACATGATAACCACATAAATAATGAATCGTATCAACATTAAACTGTTTGACATTATTTCAACACAAACTTGATGTATTCCTTTTCTTATCATTCATAGTCTAATTAATCATATAATTCTGAAATTTGTAGGCTGAAGATTTTACCAAGGCATTAAACTGCTAACATTTTCATATACTTTCGTCAAGAAATAATGCATTATGATTAGCAACAAATTGCATAATTGAATAAATTAAGCTTCCGTAATCAAAATTAATATGTACCCAAAGTAATTTGCAATTCACATTACACAATCACCCTAGCACCCAAATTCCAGTAAACAATGTAAAATTCGATAAATTAAAGAAAAACCCAATTGAATATAAGCAAACAAGAGTCTAAATTAATCCAAATTCACTGGAAAAAATCCAAATTAGAACCCAGAAAAAGGAATATTAAGATAAGATTAGGCGAAAAAAACAGGAAATACCTGAAGAGAGGTAGGTGAAGGAAAGAGGCGTTGACCAAGGAAAGAGTTGGAGGAGAGAGAAAGAGAAGTAAAAGAGCTTTGAAGAGCAGCCATTGCTGCCATTTTTGCAGTTTCTTCAAGTGTGTATTTGTGTGTGGGAGTAGAGTTGCGAAGTGTGGAACGATTTTCTTCCTCTTCTTTCTTACTTTATTCAAGATGATGATGTTGTTGTGGATAAGAGTATGTAAACGGGCCAGGCTTGCAGAAGGCCCAATAAATAGGCTAGTTATTTCTTCTTCTTTCTTCTTCTTCTTTTTTTTTAAGATAATTGATGAGCGAGTCCTTTTTGATTTTGAACTAATTTAGCCCATCTCATAACGGGGCGTTTGGTAAGAAAAATAGGGTTTAGGAGGATAATATAGTTTAATAAGGATAAAGAATTACTCTGATTTAAGAGTGTCAATTTGGGTAAACAGTTTCATTTCGAATTGGTTTTATCGATTTTGGTTTATAACAAATTGAAATGATTAGCAAGTCAGTTCAGGTCGGTTTTGAAAATTGTCGAGTCAGTTAGGTTTTTTTTATTTTTTTTTATTGTAGTTTTATTCAGATATCATATCATATTATATCACTAATAAATGAAGCCGGTCTCTCAGCCAGGCCACGAGACAACGACACTTGGTATTCCAGTTTTTCGCCAAGTATCGGGCCACGTAGGCGACAAAAAGGTATTATTGTGACACATATGATGTTAAGTAAGCGAAGTTTGGATAGATTTTTTTAGAATAAAATGTTGTATAGAATTTTATTATCGATATACTTCTAAAATTTTTATATAAAAAAAATTAATCATAACTTTTAATAAATATCCTATAACTCGGTTTCATTTCCATCATAAAATTCGATTTTAAAAGTTCTTTAAAATAAGTTCCATTTATAATATATTTAATTTATTTTTTTTAAAAAAAATAGAAAATCACTATTATATAAATAAGCGATATAATATCATATGTCTAAATATCCTGCATTATCAAAAGGGATTATATGACCGTATTTAACATTTAAGTCAAATAGTCTATTCTAAAGTTTTATATAGCCATATGAGTATCGCCCGAACACAAAACTAGTTTATTTATATTTTCAAGCAAAACAAATTAATGAAGGTCCTGCATATCATATTTATTTAGAAAGGAATTTGATTACTTCGTTTAATTTCCTAAAAGTCAACAGCAAAGCATTATCACCTTCCTCACACGATAATAATTTTATTGGGACTTTGACGGTAGACGATAAAACGAACCATCATATCATACATGAATGAGAGCTTTTTGGCACGAAGGTATTTACTCCGTATATCATACAAAATTGTGTTTGCTCGTTGTTGAACCTTAAGTAGTTTTGATGATGATGGAAATGCAAACTTTAACTAATGCGATTTTTCTAAGTGTTGAATTAGTACAGGTGAAGTTGACTTAGGGAGTGGAAGAGTAACCTAATTATGATGATCCAAGGAGAAATAAAGGAAAGATAATAAGGAATAGAAGAAGAGTTCCTTATTGGAACTAGAAGTGGTCCATAACAGGAACACAGATAGAAGCTCTCTAACGAGAGCTGGACAGCAAGCTAAGAAGACTAGCTTGGACTGAGTTGAAGACAACAAGTTTCAGAAGAACTTGGTCTGCGAGTTCCAGCAAGGAGCTGGAGAAAAGAAGACAACAGGAATGAAGTCATGGTCTGCAAAGAGCCTAAAGTTCCTATACACTCTACGAAGCTTGAGGAGGCAATTCAGTAATTGACAAAAGACTTTTTATAAGGATTTTGTTAAGTTTATTTTTATTAAGATTGCTCTAAATATGTATTGGTTAATTATGCATGAGATCTATTAGAAACGTGACAAAACTTGACAAGCTAAGTAAAATTAGAAAGTTAAAAGATAAGTTTTAATTTATGGAAAAGATCTTTGAGAGATTTTATCTTATAAAATCCGGTTTACAAAATAATGATCTTTTTCTAAAATATATCTTTGTTCGATTTTTCCAAAGATTTTCATAAAAAGATTCAATTCATATGGGGTATTAATTTAACGGAAGTTTTAATGTTTATCTATTTGAAAACCCTACTTCACATATGAGTGCCTCTTGTATATAAAGAAGTATTCATATTCTGGAGAAGGGGTGAGTTTATGCGTGAAAATCTGAAGAGTGCTTAAGAGTAAGTTTGCCAAGTTTAAAGTTTTGTTGTTTCGGGGTTTTTGTGTCCCTCGAGAGAGTTACGTAACCAAGATCGATTTCCCGCCGGCTGTACCTGCAAAACAACGGAAGCTCTGGGTGTTCGGAGTTCCGCCTCCGACGATCAAGTTAGAAAGTGTTCGGAGTGAAGTAAAAAGTGCGGAAAGTAAAAGTAGATCTTCTCAGATCCCGAGATCAGCTATTTTCTCTAATGTGAGAGAAATGATTGTGTGTAATAAAATGAATGTGTCCCCAAAATGAGGGAAATCTCCCTATTTATAGGGTCGTTGGTAAATGTGCCCCTACCTAGGTCATTTTGACCTAGATTTGGGGTGCTGTACCGTTTTGCGGCTTTTCTCGGGAATTGGGCCTTAAAGGTCGTCTTTCTCCCTACTGATTGGGAGTGCCACGTGTCAGCTGAGGATTGGTTCATTTTGAACCTCTCCTAAGGTGACACGTGTCACCCTCTGATTGGGCCACGTGACCTAGGTATTTTTACCCAAAACATTTGCCCCTCACAAGTGTCACGTGGTGTGCCATGTGGCATTTGTGACACTTGTCACTCAATCATTGGTGAACAGTTTTAACTGTTCACCTTCTGCGGGGAATTTATAGGGATGCTTGATGAGTCTATTTTATATATATTGTTATTCCCCGTCCCATGGTCATATTTGTACTTATTTGAGCTCTATGGAGCTATTTTTATTACTAATATACGATTTTTAGTGTTTTTGTAGAGTTGGTTTTATTTTGTAGGAATTTGCAGATTTATGATAATTTCGGAGTTTATTGAACCATTACAACGACATTGGAGTCGGATCGTATTTTATGACCGAATATTTTAAGCCCAAGGCCGACTTAGAGAAATTAGTTCGGTGATTAAGGGCTCGATTAAGTAAAAGAGGTCCAAAGTTCCCACGCGAAATACGGACCAAGCAAGTAATTAACTCTAAGAGCTCAAGTATAAATCCAAGTAACAAGCCTTCAAAATCAGTCGATTGATGAAAATAAAATAGCGGGCCCGAACGGGTGGCCCAATTCCCGATCAGGCGAGATCAGCGAGATTTCTTCTTGCTATTTGGATTGTGCAGCTTTGGGCCTAATATTTTACTCCGTATGTGATTGGGACAGCGGGAGACAACTTTTTCTTATATTATACTGTACTACGTACTAAGTTGTTAATAATCCTTGTTTCAGTGGGATTATAAGGCTAGAAGTTGACAGGAAAACAAATTTCTTTTCCTTTCTTATAAAAGGATTAGGTAGTATTTACGTAGGAGGTAGGCAAGCTTTCTTAGTTTAGTTTTTAGATTAGTTTTAGTTTCTTTTAGTTTTGTTTCTATTTCTAGTCTTCATATCAAGTTTTATTATTTTGTTTTCTTATTAGTTTAATGTTATTATTCTCTTTATTTTAATTCTTGTTTTTATTATGCTTTGTTTAATTGTTTTGATTAGTTTAGTTTTATTTATGCACGAGTAGTTTAATTCTAGGGTTGTGGGGATCCATGAATAATATGAAGGGATGAATTATTATTGTTGATTGTTAATGTTTTAGATTAATTTCCTATTGATTGATATAATGCTATTCAATTAGATTAGCGCTAGTTTAATTGTATGAGTTATGCAATATTGATCCGAGATTCGAGAGATGAGAATTGATGTTTAGGCTTAGTTTCAATAGGCAGGTTAATTTATAAATGGTTAAGTCAAGATTCGAGAGATGCGATTTAATACCGATAGATTAATTATGTGATCATAATACGTAGCAAAAGCCCTTTATAATCTGGTTAATTTATGCATTGATAAGTGATTGTTGTCTTTCATCGCGGAATATTATTTATTGGTGAACCTATGCCCTAGGCTTTTATTTATTTGATATTCTCTTAGTTTTATATGCTTAGTTTAATTAGTGCCCAATCATACTTGTTACTTGATGATTTAGATTATAATAATTAATTAGGAATAGAAGAACGCTATTTCTCTGTGGATTCGACCCTACTTCCCTATTTGTTATTAGTTAGAGGTTTAAGAAATTATTTTTGATTAGGTGATACGACTTTACCCTGTCAATGCCCCTGAATTTACCCCTCTACAAATAGGGTTTTACCCCCCCTCCTTTTTGACGTTTGCGTAAAAGTCTAGAGAGAGAAATTCAAGTTTTCTAGAGAGAGAGTCTGTCAACCGTCTGTGTATCTCACAAACAGCTGCTTGATTTCTGCCCGCCTGTTACAGCCGGTCCGCGCTTGACCCCTTTCAGAAATATATCTTTGAGGTACCGTCTCTCCCCTTCTCAGCTCTTTCATACTTTTTTCTGTTTGTTTACATATCATTTGATAAATGGGTTCACCATCAGCACACATGGCACGACCTAGGTCAGTAGTCAGCCGGTCTCCTGGTACGGCTGAGTCTAGAACTAGGGGTGTCGTTTCTAGGTGTTTGGATCACCCTTGTTCATCTCTAAATTCGACCGTCTCTGTGTTTGTGCAAGACACTATGGCTCGGACGATGTGGACGGCACTTGATCCGGAATATAGGGAAGAAAGCACAGAAGGTGTGCTGCCTGAGGGAAAGACGACTGAGGTGGTGGCATCGGCTGAAGAGGAGGGAAAATCTCCTCCGGCTGCACCCAACACTCCTAGTGATAGGATCCTTGAATCAGAACAGGGAGACGATGAAAAAGCTGTCTCTGTATCTGGTTCTAAGGGAGATGATGAAGCTGTCTCTGAGTGAGACGGGGGAGAGGTCGCCTCTGGGTCTAGCTCTGGGGAGAGCAGTATTGGCTCACTATCACCGCTTGAGGATTGTGAGGCAGAAGAGAGAAAAAAGTGGAACAATGAGGGGGATCTGTTCTGGATCCATGTGTCTTCCAAAGACAGGGCGAACATGAAAAAAGGCTAGAAGGACTTCAAATTAAAACGTCCTCTTGGTGAGGGCTATGACATACGGGCACCGCCTGAACTGGGCACCATTGCCTGGAAGGATGACCAGTGAAATGCCAATAA